TCAGAGGTTTAACAGTGTGTGGCTCCCTCTAGTGGATGTTGTGGAGTATTCTGTTGTCTTTGCTCCAAAGGTTTTTGTACAGAGTTTTGCTGTTTCCTGTCACTGTGGGCCTCACAGCACAGTAGTACACAGCAGAGTCAGACACTGCAGCAGAGGAGATCTCCAGATCTGCACGTTTCTCTGTTTTGTCAATGTGAGCTGAGAATCCCGACACAGCTCGATGAACTGATCCTCCCTCTGTGATGGAAAGCAGGAACTCTGGTCTGGATCTCTGGTATTGTCGGTACCACTGGATATTGTAGATAGAACCATCATATGTACAGGTCAGGTTGATGTTTCCTCGCTCTGCAACAGCTTCTTCAGCACGTTCCTGCTTTATGCTGTTCATGGAGCCCAAAGCTGCAAATGAATGATTCATGTCAGTCAGTCTTTTTCTTCCTTTGTGAGCATAATGAGATGAAGAACTCTGCTAATAATAACTCTGATCAAATCTTGTCACAATGAGACTTTCCTGTGTTCTAACACTCACCTATGCAGTGAGAGAAAAGTACAAACAGGTAAAGGAACATGTTTCAGGTGCTGAAGTCACACAGCAGATGAACAAAGTTCAGCAGAATGAAAAGACTAAGCAGCCTCTCTGCTGCACAGCCTTCTCAACATCAGGCTGGCTTTAGTTCTGCAGGAAGAGACCATCTCATTGGCTGAGTTCAGCATCAGTGGGTGGAGCCAGAGAGAAACCTGTTTAGAGTCTTTATGAACAGCGAAACATCTGCTGGTTGTTTTTACAGCTGTCCTTGTTGCATGTGTGTTTCTTTCAGACTGAAACGTTTTGGGAGGAGAATATTTGAACAACTAATAAAAATAATAATTCACTGAGATTTAGAGATAAATCTGTTCCTACACTGTTATTAACACTGGGAGCACTGAACGTATCCTATTATGTTTTGGACATGGCTGTGATAGCTGAAGGTGCCATGAGAGAGTGTGTGGTAGATGAGAGAGTTTCCTCCACTTGTGTTCGTTTATGAGGAAGATGTGACCAGAACACAGTGACTGTTAAAGCAGGCGTTAGAAAAACGTACTAGATATGATACAACGTCTTTGTTTAACACATGAAATATTGTGAGAAGTCAGAATTGTGTGTCGTGGCTCTTATCACATGTAACCGAAAGCACAGCAAGTTCCCAGGAGATACAACTCCTGAGAAAGTCCTCCTACACATCTGTCCCAGGGTGATATGCAACATGCTACACAAATCCTCTTTGTCTGTAGAAAAGAAGCTCGCTGAGACGTCCCCAGAGAGCGCTCGCACAAAGTTATGGTTGCTGCTGCTGCTCACTTGAAGTCACTAAAAGCTTTAAAGTCACATCTCTTGTGTTTCTCGATTTCTTGAAGAGTTGTTCCAACAGCTTGGTACCTCGAGCCGGACTCCACATCTGTCCTACTCATTCCAACAATGTCTGGAAGGTGAGGTCAGCAGCAAGGGAGGAGTCGGAGAGTGATGAGATCTGTAACTATATACACTCAGTGTTGGGGAGTAACGGAATACATGTACCGCCGTTACGTATTTAGAATACAAAATATGAGTAACTGTATTCCGTTACAGTTACCGTTTAAAAAGGTGGTATTCAGAATACAGTTACTTTGTTGAAATAAATGGATTACACTGCGGTACTTTCCTGTTTCATATTGTCGCGGGTCAGGACTGTTTGGGTTTTGTTTGACAGCTACGTTCTTTTGTTCCAGGCGGCAGCGTTACGGTTGCCATGGTTACAGGGCGACGCTCTCTCTCTCTGCGACTGTGTGTTTCCTGGGTGAGAGAGCGCCTTTTCGTTGTTGTTGTGCTAAGCTAACAGGCAGAATGCTACAAGCATAGCTCTAAAGAATGTAGCATCATGGGCAGTGTAGTCCGTGCTGCAGGGAGAATGGACTGCCATACACGTTATGTGTCTGTGAGCGCGAGGAGGGAGAAAAAGGGGAGTGGAAAGGTACGAGTTGTCATCGAGGAAAAACGGGAGCTGGAAGCATGTAAATATAATAATAACCACTGCAGCCAAGAAGAGAGCCTGACGAGCCCAGTTGTAAGTAAGCTATTAAGACTCGACTGTACACTGTGTTCGTGTTTTCCTCCGAAAGCAACAAGTTCCGTTGGAGCAGCCTTTCAACGCCTCTCTCTGTCGCTGCTAGCAAAGTTGACCCACACAACAAAGTAAAGCTATTTTTCGGCTACCAGCCGACAGGGACCCCGCCGTATTATGCTGGGCTTACACTGTGCGATTTTTTCAGTCGCGCGATTCAGCTCCTGCTCAAACTGTACGATTGACTCGCAGGGGTTAGAAGTTCATAGGTCACGATGCAGGGTCTCACACTATACGGCCCGATGCTCTGATGCGACCTGAGTGCTCACACTGTGCGTCCATAAAAATGAAGGTTATAACAGAACAGAAATTCTGTCGCCCGCTCTCCCTCTCCGTCTTTCACTCACGCAGACACACCACCACCATCAACTTTGCTAAATTGCTAATGAAAAACATTGATCAGGCAGCTGTGATTGAGCAGCAGTGTCGATCCAACTATTTTCACGGTTGTTGTGGTCGTGATAATTTTGTGAGGCCACATCGAAAGGGCTCGGATGGTTCTACAGGTTGTGCCTCCATCGCTTGTGTCCAGATCACACGCTGCACTGCCGTGCTACGCCGTCTTTTTCGCTGACATTTGTGTTTGCGCGTGCGCAGTGTGGCAAACTGCGGTGACACCCTCACGACAAGCGATTGATGATCGGGAGCTGGTCGTGAGGTGTCAATCGCTTCTCGTTACCCCACATATACTACACGATGCACGACGCACGATGAAGGCCAAAATCGGGCCGATCGCCAAAACGATCGCACGACTCAAAAATCGGCTCAAAATGGGCCAAAAATCGCACAGTGTGAGCCCAGCATTAGTCAGAGGTCCCTTTACTACAGTTCGGAGTCGCGGACCTTCAGTAATAGTAATAAATCACACAGCAATAGTACATTCACGTTGTTGTAAAAAGCATGATAATATTGTAGCGGGTCAGGGCTGTTCGGGGTTCTGCTTGTACAGTTATGTTTTGTGTATGTTGCCATGGTGACGGGTGACGGGTGACGCCCTCTCGCTGCGACGGTGTGTCCTTCCGGGGTCAGAGGGCGCCCTATGTGTGTTGTGGTTGCCGCGCTGAGCAGTTAGCTAGTGGCAGTGTGTTCTTCTGCAAATGTAATAAACGGCTGTGCTCCCTGGCTAGCTCACGGGAAGCAAGACCAAACGATACCTCCGTCTCCTCCTTGTCTGAACTCGCCACAATATATTAAGTAATCCAAAGTATTCAGAATACGTTACTGTCATTGAGTAACGTAACGGAATAGGTTACAGAATACATTTTGGGGCATGTATTCTGTATTCTGTAATGGAATACATTTTAAAAGTAACCTTCCCAACACTGTATACACTGGAGAACCAGAGGTGTGGAGAGCGATGGCCTGAATCCTACAACAGGTCAGCACATAATAATAGTTATGATAGGAATCAAAAGAATAATAATAAGTACAAAAGGTCAAAGGTCAGCAGTGTCTCCAGAGAGTCAAAGGGGAAAACTGATGAACTAGCAGTGTTAACAAACGCAGGTGAAGTCATTTCATCAACAGTTTGGTCTTTTTGTCCAGCTTCCATGAGCTGGAGGATGCTCCCCAACCTGACTCCACTCTGTCTGTTCCACAAAGCAGCTTTAGGGAAGGTTGAGGCTAAACAGTAACACATGTAAGGCAGCCCCATTCATGGATTAATCACCAGAGTATGTTAGAGTTATCTGATGAACTGAAAATGTAAAGCTTGCATGTGACTCCCTTTAAGTGTGTAAACGATGTGAAGTTCAGATGAATTGTAGCCGATGATGCTGAGATCCATTCACTGATTTCCACCTTCACACCAACTGTGTAGTGCAGAATAAAGACAGCAGAATCAGTGTACTGTCAGTGTAGAGGATGCAAATCAGCCCAGAAACATCTGCTTACGTCCATCCATCCATTCTCTTCCACTGATCCGATTTAGGGGGGCGGAGCCATCCCAGCTACTGTAGGACGAGAGGCGGGGCACAGCCTGGACAGGTCACTGGTCTATGGCAGGGTAACACAGAGAGACACACAACCATTCACATTATGGGCAATTTAGAATCACCAGCTAACCTAACCCCACTAAGCGCACGTCTTTGGACTGTGGGAGGAAGCTGGAGCACACGGACAGAATCCTCGCAAACACCTGCTCACATCTGGTTGAATTCACATTACAAAGAGCATTGAAGCTCAGATCAGCTGATCACAGCCTGTACTTGAATCAAATCTACTGGAGCTCTCAGCAGAAATGATTGTGAGTTTGATTCTTTTCCCCACACTGAGCCACTACAGCTGATTTTAGGGTTCCCACCTGCTGAATCCACTTTAACCTGTTCTCTGCTCATGTTCCTGTTAGAGGCACAGTCACTCTCTAATGGAGCCAACAGAAAACAGAAATGTCTTCATTTTCCCTCTTTTTCTCTGCTCATGTTCAACTTCACTGATTCAGTCTAATGAAGTGATTCTAATATAATTCAGATTTACACTGAAATAAAGTTTGTGTTCCTGTGTGCTGATATCATTCATTTACATTAATGTAGCACAAGGTTCAGTTAACTCTGCACTTTTTCCTTTTGGAGTAAAGAAGTTGATGGAAAAAGTCCTGGATGTCTGTACTTTACCTACAACCACCTCTGTGGGATCAGTGATCAATCATTTATCATGTTGTTATTGATCAGTGACAGGTTGTGCTTTTATTTATAAAAACATAAAGAAACAATGTTTTGTTGGTAAATCCATGAAAATGAATGTAGTCTGTATTCTAATAAGCTAGAGAGGTTTAACAGTGTGTGGCTCCCTCTAGTGGATGTTGTGGAGTATTCTGTTGTCTTTGCTCCAAAGGTTTTTGTACAGAGTTTTGCTGTTTCCTGTCACTGTGGGCTGCAGAGCACAGTAGTACACAGCAGAGTCAGACAGCTGAAGCTTCTGGATCTTCAGAGGAGCTGATCTGTTGCTGGAATCCAGTGTGGAGGAAAATCTCTCCTTGAACTCGGCTGCTGTGTTTCCATCATCCCCACTATAGCGACTCAGGATGAATTTGGGGCTGTTGTTTCCATCCTGTTTGTACCAGAAGAGATAATTACTTGTTCCACTGCTGTTATAGAGACAGTGAAGTGTCACTGTGCCTCCTGCAGCAGCAGTCTCTTCTCCTTTTGCTTGCAGCACGTTGTCTTTTTGTGCTCTGCATTCTGTAAAACACCAACAAACAGTATCAGTGTGCTGTTAAAGAATCACGTCAATGTTGATATCAAAGAAACAGAGTTGTGTTCATACCGAGGCACATAGCAGCCAGCAGCACTGAGATGAACAGAGGCGTCATATCTGCAGTGTAGAGTAACTGTGAGCTACAGCAAGTATAAAGAAGCTGTGATCTCTCTGTTTAGTCTTCATCAACACTAAGTTGGTGGATTAGAAGGAGGAGCCTGATCACAGTGACAGGACTCATTCACAGCCCTGTGTTATTCCCCCTGCTGACAGCTTCACACTCAGCACGTCTTTCTGCTGCTTTCAGTGGATATTTGCTCCTATTGCAGGAAGCAGGTTTAACAGACTGAACTGTGAGTCGAGGAAGAAAGAAATCATCAATGGAGCTCTGATACAGGGTTTACCATGGCGACGGGTAAACAAAGAGCAGAGCGTCCTGTAACAATGGCTGGTTATAAACAAGTGCTCTTTAATTAATGCAGCACATAACCTTAATCGTAAAGGTAGCAGGGTGTTACATGTTTTCCAGTTCGCCATCTTAACTCTGTTTTCTAACTCTGTATTTTCAACAGCACTTTTTCATGACAACACCCTCTAATGGTGCAATATTGTATAACACAACAGCTCCTCTCTCTTTATCAAAGAGACTTCATCGTAAAAAATTATCACCAACTAGCGCAGCACCAAGATGAAGTAATTCAACATTTAGCAAATCAACAATACGCTTGTAAACTTAAATTGTAGTAACAGCTGTAACATCAGAATACTACAACTAGCAAAGCTAAGTAAACCTGAAATTATGTTGCACTACTATGTAAAATGAAAAAAGAAATTATTATTCCACTTATTTCCATTTCATTTTTTTAGTTCCTAGTGCACTGGCAGCAGTAAATCAGTTCTGTTAAACTAAAATAGAACAATTAATAACATTTCTCTAATTTCCTTTTATCAAGAAAAACCATTATGATGCAATATAGTCTTTGTGCCAGCGAGGCTTGTACTTGACGCGTGGCAGTCTTCTGGCAGTAGGTGAGCCAGTGTGGTGCAGCCTCACAGCGTCAGCGTTCTTTTCAGTCTCTGGGCGACAGCGTGCTCGATGAGTGGCATCCCAAATCTTTCCATCACTCAGCAAGAAGGCCTTTGAGCCTTTGAGCCTTTGTTACTGTTACAGGAGTAAATCTGGGATGTCCTTTGGCAACTTTGTGTGATTTCCTTATCCTCACACTCTCTCCTGGTAGAAAAGAAGGTTTCCGTGACGCCTACCATCAGTGTAACATTGCATTTTCAACTGACGTCTCTGAACTGAGTGACGTGCAACAGTGGAGACACAGCCAGCAGAAGGCAAAGGGAGTACATCCAGTTTAGTACGCATCTTCCTGCCATACAGGAGTTCATAACAACAACAACAATCTTTATTTATAGAGCACATTTAAAAACCAGCGGTATACCAAAGTGCTTAACATAAGAGACAGAGAAGTAACACAAGTAGGGGAGACCGGGGATAGTTGTAACATTTTTGACATTTCTGTCTGTAAATTGAAGCTCGTTTAAGGTAGTGGATTCAAAATGTAATGCAAAGTATTTACATGTCTCTGCTATTAAATAGTGCAGCTATTTTCTCTGCAGCACAATTACCCATTGCATGGTGTGGCCTCAAACACAAAGAGTGAAATGTTACAATTAACCCCATAGTCTGGGTTAGTTGTAACATATACTGGGGTAAAATGTAACACAATGAAATAAGGGTACTAACAAAACATTAACATGTAATCTTTGTTTATTCAACACATGAATGCACTTAGAGCCATTTATGTAGCTGTGTGTGTGACAGAATGCAGAAATCTAACTTTTGAACATATTCCAACCCCCCAAAAAGACAAATTATGGAATTTTCTGCAACTGAATATTTCATTAATTTTGGTTGGTCTTCCTTGAGTTTGGCCTCATTGGCTCAGTGGGCATTATAACCTACAACTCTTGCAACAACTTTTGAACATAACAATGAAGCTGAAAAATTTTGTTGTGCACCAGCATCGCAATTCCATTACTTTTTATCATGGCTTACTTTGGTGTGGTTTGCAAAGTGCTTCAGAAAGATGAGGAAATCTGTTTCTTGCACCCATCCTGATTTATTTCCACTACCAGTACTTCCTACTGGTCCATCTCTGACACAGTGGTCTGCATAATGTATGTGTGGGAACACAAACAGTGGAGGAATTGTGTTGCCAATGGCATTAACCGCATATACAAAAGCGACCAGTGAACCTCTCTCTGCTGCTGTCGTTGCCCCAACTTGTTTAATATAAGTTAAAGTAATAGTGTGGTAAGTTGTAACATCTGCATTATTGTTACAACTAACCCAGACTGTTGCTGTTACAACTGACCCAGACTCCTATAGCCATGAACTAGCTAACATTACAGCCAACGGCTAAAACATTAGCACTAAAGACCTACACAGAATATATCCCCATAGACATACAAATAACACAATTTAAGTTTGATGAGTTTAACTGCAAAGCAGATAATGCTATTAAACATTGAAATAAAGTAGAAAAACTTACTTTTTGGCATACAAATTACTTTTTTTCGTGTTAAATTGTCTGTGTTTGACAAAATGTGCTGATTTTTCACATGTGATAGCAGAACTGAGTTGGGCATGCACAGGAAGAGTCACATCATTTGAAACTTAGCCCTGATTGGAGAAATTGGAAGTGTTACAACTAGAGATGGCACGATACCACTTTTTTATGTCCGATACCGATATCATAAATTTGGATATCTGCCGATACCGATATGAATCCGATATAGTGTTTTTTAATCAACAAAACTGTTTTTTAAATATCTTGCTGCATTTTGTATAAGTTCATACTCAAGTTTAAAACAACAACTACACTAAAGCTATTCTGTTATACCTGTATGCAAAAAAAATATTTCATAGTTCAGCAATACTGATCAATCTAATAAACTTAAACCTACACCATCCTCCCTATTCTGGTATTTTAAAGAGTACTTAGCAGAAATATTAAGCAACCTAACTAATAGGGTTCCAACTCCCAGCAACAACAAAAATAAATAAATAAAAAATAGGGAACCACCCCTCACGCTCCACCTCATGATGCTTAATCGACGTAATCAACCTTAATTTGATGCAGTGTGAAAAAAATGCACAGAAATCAATTATTTTTCAAGAAATATTAAATAGATTCAACATCTTTCTTCAACAAAATTGCAGACTGCACAGATGGTACCTTCCCAAAGGAAAAAGTACTATAGCTTACTAGGGTATATTAGACTTAATAGTCACTATATACAGTAATTGACTTCTATTCATTTTACATCAGATTAAAACTTTGGGTGTCAGATAATTATTTATTAAAAGCTCGACATTTTAAATGAGAATAAGAAAGAAAAGTATGTCTTTGTGCCCCCTTTTCCCTGTTAATGCCCTATCGGCCCCCCTGGCTAAACTCTGCTAGATCCGCCCCTGCACAGTTACCAGCGTCAGCTACGTAGAAAAAGATCCTGGTGTAGAAAGTAATATTAAATAAATTCTAACAACAGCTGATCAAGCTTAAACGTGCTGCTGTTGTTCAGCCGCTGGTTTCCTCTTTCTGGTGCAAAGTGGGCCAAAAACAAACCAGAGACACGGACTCGCGACAGAAAAGCCGATCAGCTGGTCATTAAGCAGTTTCATGATTGAAGTAGCAGCAAGAAGAGGCAGTCGCTCCATATATCGCTTGTTAAGCTTAAAGCAGGAATGCTTTACAAACATTCAGAGATGGACTTACACACTTGCTTTACTTCTCTCGGGATAACTTTGTCGGAGATGAAATGCCGGGTTGCTAGCGAAGCTCCACATGCTATCCAGACCACCGACAGGTCCCGCATGCCACAGCCGCTCTATCACGTGATGCATACTGCTCCGAGTGCTAACGTTCTGAGGCGAGTTACGGCGCGTTGCAAGTTTTGTGAGGTGCTTTTGTGATATTTAATGGATCGGATTACATTTTTTATTTTTCTCCGATATCCGATCCAGTAATTTAGGTCAGTATCGGACCGATACCGATACGTAATATCGGATCGGTCCATCTCTAGTTACAACTATCCCCGGTCTCCCCTATTATAAGGCCTTAGCAAAGTATCAAATATACTCACAGGTCAATGCCACTAATACACAGGGGTAATATAATATGCATATTAAAATAAAAACATAATAAAAGCACAAGTCGTAAAAAATATGTATAAGGAAAAATAGAGTCTAAGAGTCAGGTGCGAGCATTAACAAGCAGGAAAGGCGAGATAATAGGATCATAGGGAGAGAGGAGAGTAGTTGCACGTGGTGTTGCATGCAGTGTTGCACGGTAAACTTGAAGCCAATCCAGCGCAGTCGCCTTCCATGGTTTTGACTGCTGGATTGCTGTCTGGATACAGGTGCGGAGGGCACGATGAAACCGTTCGATTGCTCCGTCTGCAGCTGGGTAGTAGACAGATGTTCTGCTGTGGGAGGTGCCTCTATTCTGGAGGAATGAGGGGAACATTACAGAGGTGAACTGTGTACCATTGTCTGTTACGATGGTCTCTGGTTGCCATGATGACAAAAGACAGATGAGAGAAAGTGAATAACATCATTAGTAGTAGCAGAAGGTGAAAAGGCAAGCTCAGGCCATTTGGAGTAGCTGTCAGTCAAAGTTATGACAAATCTACAAGCAGGTATTGCAGTATCAAAAGGGTTAGGGTTAGAGATCTCTTCATCTTTGTTTTGTGTGCACAATCCCTTGGTGACTTTCATGTGCCAGTGCAATCAGTTTAGGTCTCAATTACAAGTTTAAACCCTTCTGGAGAAAATGTGAGAATAACAAAGTAAAAGTTTCAGCTATAAAACATCATTAATGCACCAACAATGTTGGGAGTTTATTACTAGTTGCTGTATTTGACTTCTGATGCTTTTTTCTTACACACACACACACACAGACACACACCTCATCACTAATGTCAATTTATGTTTATACCTATATCTCTATATTTATCTATTTATCTATCACTACTCTGTTTCTACACTCATTTTAGATAAGTGCTTGTTGTTTGTTATATATTTGCTGCCATGACAACTCAATTTCCCTCTGGGATTAACAAATTTTCTCTGATTCTGAAATGTCTGAACGTTCCTGCAGTTGGTTTGTGGTTGATGTGGATTTGCTGCTCATGTGAATCCTCCCACAGTG